AACAGCCCTAGTTTATACCCAACACCTTTTGTTTTTGCTCTCTAATTGCAGAGCCAAAGATGCCACCCCAGAGGTGTCCCAACCCGTACAGTGTGGGTCATCTCTTTGGGTTGGGAATTAAAATTGGTGTCATATATGATAATTGTACACATTTAATCTGTTTCATTACAAACAGAAACCAACTGCTAAAACACCTCATGACTTCCCAGCAGGACTAGCATGTTCGATTCGAGTCTATCATGACAGTCCCCTCACTTCTGTGAGAACAGAGCGCTCCAACAGCACCGCTGTGTACAGCTGAAAACCTTAATCAGAAAGGTGAAGGATGATGATGTAACTAGTGTAAGTTATAAATCGATTAGATGAGTGATTTTCTAACGTTTTGTGGCCGAGGCACCTCGTAAAGGTGAAGGTGCATCTGCAGCTCTAGTATTTCTTAGAAGGGCTGTTTGGTTTAAAATAAACATTCCAGGCTTCAGGGAGGAGAGCCACCCAGCAACTAATCCCTATTGACTTTTGTAGAGCACTGGCACTCTGAGCCCAGGTGTTGCTGATTGAAAATAAGGCACACATCCTCTCCAGTGCCCATAGAAAAGAATGGCCACACAGACAGGCTGAGAGGGAAGGAGGGCAGAGTGGGTATAACGCAGCCTCCGCAGACAGATGAAGCACTTGGATTAAGGGCCAGTGTCACTGCTGGTCAAGAGTTACAGTGCAACAGTGTTATCATAAACGGAAATTTTGAAGCTTCACAAAAGCTGTATTTGCTACAGTGCTCTCACACTATATTGTAATACACATCGCGGACACCCTCCTCACCTTGTTGAACACAGCAGTGAACATATGCACATCCCTCTCTTTCTCAGATGCAAACAGAGACGCAGAAGCGTCTCCTTCCAGGACCAAGTTTGAGGACCTCGACTTTGATTCGTTGCTGAAGCAGGCTCAGAGAGGATTAAAGACGTAGCAGAGCCGAGAGGACGAACGGCAGCACAAACCTGGAAGAAAAGATGGAAGCGTTTGCTTTGGGGGTTTTTCCACAAACCTCAGAGCATTGTGCTCATACTGGCATGGGAAAAATTTGTTATGAGTTTTCATGTTTTGCTAAACTATATTGTAAATGCATGAAGGTTTTTATGTGTACAGTTTATATGTACAAATATGTAGCACTTGTATGCATGCAGTTACTCGTGTGCAAAGTTGACATGTAGCACTTGATGTGAGACAAGGTTTTTATGGCATTCCAGAGCACTGAGAAAAGTTTGTATATGAAACAAAGGCAATTTATTGTTTTTCTGTTTACTTGGGATAATTTTAGTGATTAGATATTTTCATGTAGATATTTTCCTCTGACAAGGAGCTTTTGTTATTGTGTTGATTTGTGTTTCTTTGCTGTTCTGGACTGATTTAAATGAACGTTTTTGAGGGCTTGGACTAATGTAGAAGGGGTTCACT